ACTGTTTCCATATCGTATTCTTGCTTTTTGTGGTGTTGATTGGTGTTGCTTGTTCGACAGCTAAATGTATTGAATCAGCCGAGCTTTGACCAAATCTCGTGCTCATGTCGGTTTCTGTTAATGACTAATAATAATTGTAAAGTTTTTCCGAACCTATACCAACTCGTTTAAACGTTAGAGAAAATCACAAAATACGAAGTCTGACTGATACTTAACAATGGCGTCGGTTCTGAATTCGAAATGTTTACATTGAGACAAATAGCTGCGTTACCTTGACAACCAAGTCAAGTCAATGCTAATTCTCTAAAGGTGCCCCATAGACTGCGTTGTTGGTAGGCCGTTTTGTTCGTCGAACAAGTCTGTTCGAACAAAAAAGACACAAAACTAAAGTGTGTGGCCAGCGAAAACGAACATTTTACAGCCACACACTTCGGTTGTGCGCAATTTTTGTTCGAACAGACTTGTTAGTCGAACAAAACAGCCTATCAACATCGCAGTCTATGGGTCCCTTTTTGTATCCATTTGAAGGAAGATCCAAACGTGAATAAGTCATCGCGGTAATTTGATACTAACAAATTATCAGTATGATTCCGAATGATTGGCTAGAATCACGCATTGATATTGGTTGAAACAAGGAAAACGTCACATTTTGACATGTAAAAAAAATAATCAGGAAAAAAGTGGTTAGTTGGATCGGTACCCGGTCGCCCATCTCCCTAATCAATCAACTTCCTGTTGAAAGTAATGTTGAAAATTGTATTATAGAAGAAGCTTTAAAATTCATTGGAATAGGCAGATCTCGCCAAATTAACCGGGCGCCAGCCGATTTGCATACGTCTAGGTCGGTCCCGAAGGGCGGCATACGGACCGCAAGTTACCGTTAACCGACATTTCTCTTAGATTATTTACGATGGTATGCCCTTTGGTTAATTCCTTCATTTCGACCCATGAATCAATGCCATAACATTTGCATACAGTTTGGGTGGGCGAATTTAGACATATTCGAAGGTCACTTTACATCATCGATTATATATATCAAGATTATATAATTTTGTATGCCATTCAATCAGGTGATAGATTCAGTTATACTGAATAAGAAAATAGCGTTTGCATACGAATGTATTGTGAGCATACGTCGATTTTGCTATTTGGAGCCAAGGCGGAATTAAAGCTTTTCACAGGGTGATATGTGGTTTGAGAACAATTAATCGAATGAGTAGGTACACTCATTTTGTGAATAGCAGCTGTAACAGAGTGGAGCTGTGTGCCAGTTACTCGAAGGCTCGGGCCGCCCGGTCAATAAAAGTGTATCTGAAAATTGATTCATAGCTTCCTTGAGAGAATATTTCCAGAAATCACAAGAACAAAACTTGAGATATCGCATTTTTGCGGTTTTTTCCTTGTATTTCGTTTCCTTTATGTAATACGTCACCCTGTAGATCAAGATCAAAATTTAAAAAAAATACATATTTCTTCAAGTTTTGAGTTGAAAATATATTTTTTTAGTTTTTAGGCCAACTCTATGACGCTTTTGAACTGCCATCCTGAAAAAACTTTTTTTTCACGAGTACTTGCATAATTAATAGTTGCAACTGTAAATTAGGAAGGGGAAACTTTTTTTTTACACATCCCCTAATTTACAGTTGCAACTGTGAATTAGGAGATGTTTTGAAAAAAAAAAGATTCTCCTTCCTAATTTACAGTTGCAACTGTGAATTAGGAGATCAACAGTAAATTAGGCAAATATCCGTGAAAAAAAAGTTTTTTTAGGATGGCAGTTCAGACGCGTCGTACAGACATAATAATTAGTTTCTTAGTGGTTTTTGAACCAAAAACTGATTTTTCGAAACTTCGACCTCGAATAACTCGAAACGGGTAAATCGGGACGAGTTTTGTGTAAGTTCTAAAGTTAGAAAGAATTTGATTGTCGATATCTTGAGCTCTTACAGGGTGTTGAACGAATTTTACCGCCATTTTTGCTAATTTTACTGGGCTAAATGTAATCCCCGCAACTCGCAAATCGTATGCAAATCATTATTCCATGCATAGTTTATGCTTAACTAACCTTGATCAAAATTTGGGAGCTTCGTAGATAATCTTGTACATACAGGTCAATGATGTAAAGTGACCTTCGAATATGTCTAAATTCGCCCACCCAAACTGTATGCAAATGTTATGACATTGATTCATGGGTCGACATGAACGAATTAACCAAAGGGCATACCATCGTAAATAATCTAAGAGAAATGTCGGTTAACGGTAACTAACGGTCCGTATGCCGCCCTTCGGGACCGACCTAGACGTATGCAAATCGGCTAGCGCCCGGTTAATTTGGCGAGATGCGACTATTCCAATGAATTTTAAAGCTTCTTCTATAATACAATTTTTAACATTACTTTCAACAGGAAGTTGATTGATTAGGGAGATGGGCGACCGGGTACCGATCCAACTAACCACTTTTTTCCCGATAATCCAACTCAATCTTCATGTCTCTTGAAGGGCATACCTTCGTAGATAATCGACACCCCTAGTGTTATGGGCCAACGGTCTATATAACTGTCGTTGTACTAAAATTCAAATTTCTATGAGTGACACAGACTCATGGTATACCCTTCGTTTCTCCTCTGGTTTTCTAGCTATATTTCTGAAATTCGGAACATCGAATATGCTCACTAGAGGGCACTTTCTCACATTTTAGGAAAATGTTTTGATCTTCCGGTTTTCCTGGAAATGACATCAACTTCCGATTTTCAAATGGAACACACTGTATTTTATTCCATAATCGGTTAGAGATTATCATAACGAATTCAACAATACCGGGTTTTATTGGGTTATTTCAAACGATTACGAAGATTCCATGACTGATATTCACGTTCGAAGTTTCCATAAGCTCAATGAATGTAACGGCGCAATATCGAAACTTCTATATCTGTCACACTCATTGAGCTTATGGGATCGAATATCTTCGTAATCGTTCGAAATAACCAAATCAAACCTAGTATTCTTGAATTTGTTATAACATTTAACCGAATATGGAATAAAATACAGGATGACATTTTCAGGAAAACCGGAAGATGAAAAAAATTTCCTAAAATGTGAGTAAGTGCCCTCTAGTGATGTCGATGTCCCCAATTTCAAAAATATCGCTAGGAAAACAAAGGAGAAAAGGTGGGTATACCATGAGTCATTGTCGGTATATCTGACGGTCAAGCTAATATCGAAGGAGAACACACTATTGACTCGCCCTTATACTATCACAGGAACTCTTACAGGCATGGTACAATACATGAGATGCTTTTCACTTTTCGCGATAATTATCATTCCAAAATAGAATGTGTTCAAAAAAGGATGAACTAATGGTACTTTTTGAAATTTGAACCAATAAAGCGAACGTAGTTGACTTCGATTACAGTTCAAAAAAGTAGTAAACATCTTGTAGAATGTGCATGTAATACCTTCCATCCCACAATTAAGAAATGTAGTGGAAATAACAGATGAAACAAAAGCTGCAAAAATAGTTGCAAAATCTCCATGAACGTAATTTCGCAAAATACAACGTAACATAATGTAACACATTGTGTTTTGATAGTCATGTGCAAAATTTGGTTAATATCGAGAATTTCTCACCAAATACATGACGTGGATAACTGTTATTGCAAATGTTGACTTTTTATTCTAGGATTATAGCAATACGCCCAATATTTTTGTCAGAAAATCAGAATACCAATCAAGAAATATGCCTAGAGTAGGAGAGTTGACTGCAAAATTTCGACCGTCATCTGATATCGAAATGACATATGACCCAAAGGCATGTAAAAACATTGGCACCTGTGCCAACCACTATCCTGATCAAAATGATTGACTTGCACTTGTTTTCACATGCCTTTGGGACATATATACAGTGTGTCCCAGCTAAAACTCCTCACTCCCCTTATCTACGAAATCGTTAAAAATGAAAATGGCTCGAACAGATTGATTTCAATTTGGCGGTGGAACACATTTTTCTGCAATTATCATATGCCAAAGTTGAAACCTGGAAGCGTAACGTGCATCAACTTTCGATTCCAAAATGGAACACCCTGTATTTAAATGCATCTTATGATTCTCCCTGAAGAGCTGATTTCATCAATTCATCACACTTAGGGCATGATTGCAGATATATATGGTATTCAAAATAGAGATTTTTCAACTCAAGGATTATTTTGATTTGCAACTATTTCTTACCGGTCAAAACAGCTTTCATGTTTCCTATCTTAACTTTTGAATTCTGAATCTTGAACCACCCTTTATTCGCCCAATTAAATGTCAGTAGGTAGTAAAGCAAAAGTTAGGATAGAGGACATGAAAGCCGTTTTTACCGATAATGAATAGTTTCAAAACAAAAAAATCCTAAAGTTGAAAAATCTCTATTTTGAACCCCAAGTGTGATATATCGATGAATTCAGCTCTTCAGGAAGAATCTTAAGATGCAATTAAATACAGGGTGTTTCTTTTTAAAATCGAAAGTTGATGCCCGTGAAGTACACTTCAAGATTCCAGCTTTGGGATATGAAAATTAGAGAAGAATGTGTCCTTCGCCAAATTGAAATCGACTTATTCGAGCGATTTTCAATGTTTTTAACGACATTGGAGATTATGGGGGGTGAAAGTTTTAGCTGGGAATCTGTATATTATTTCGTTATGAGATGACGGTTCGAATTTGAGTCCGTGTAACAGGGTGTCGCTAAACAATCATTTTTCATCAATTACTAAAAAATGATTCCGCCGATTTTGATATAACAAAATCGACTCAAATACTATTTGATAACCCATGAGAAATCAACTTTTTTGTCAAAACTTGACACCCTCTGTTAATCAGAAACGAAACAAGTTCATAAGAACATGTTTTCAAAAATAATAACAAGGAATGACCAATGAAAATTAATAACATCATTCAAGATACACCGTCTATAGGCTAAGAATCAAAAAGGGATTTGTCATGAACTGAAATCAGAGCTTTCAACATTAAAAATATATATATATATTAACTCTCTTAATAAAATATACTGTTTTGATCAATTGCTATGTTAGTATATAAAATACATCTTGAACTTAAATACTATATTCATATATGATCATTTTTCACCATTTAGATTCAGATGCATTAGTTTCCTCAGAGGAGCAGGACCATTCCAATACCCATTGAGCATCAAATGCCAATACAATGGTGGCATTAGGTTCTTTTTCATGAAATACATGGAATACAATTCTTTATCTTGACTAAATGGGAACGTTTCCAGTGGTGTCAGGTTGTAATCGAATTCAGCCAAAATACACTTATCATACCCAGTTACCAGAGGACATGATGCATAGCCATCATAAATGGATTGAGGAGGTTCTCCTTGCATCACAGCACTCAAGTTTTTCTGCACCACATTACTTTGAGCAGCTAAAATAGAATGAAGTTTTAATCTTTGAATTATTTTATAAAATGTTGTGGTACAAGTCCATTGTACCTCTAAGTGGAGTGATTAGTTACCAGGGATCAAAACACAAAGTCGTCTCCACAATTTTTGATAGTGATCAAATAAACAAACCAGATCAACGTACATGTTTCGAGCCTAAATTAGCTCATCTTCAGCGAAAATTGAATATTATGGAGGAAAAAATATACTTAATTTACATGATTGACAATATGGAGAAAGGAGTAAATATAGCAGTTCATTTGAAAATATTTGCATTTGATTTTTTTTTGTTACATAAGGGGGCCACAAGACAAAAGCACCAAACCATGCTAGGCAAGCAAGTTCACGTGGCAATGGAAAGATGTATGAAACATGTATTTGAGCTGGTTTAAGTGATTTGATCACTATTAAAAATTGTGGAGACGACTTTGTGTTCTGATCCCTGGTAATGTTGAATATGTTGAATCATGAAAGAATATGACACTCATGACATAATTCAACTTATTCCGATACATATGGAACAGGGTGATAGAGAGTTTGATTTGCAGGTATTAGCCTGATCAAAGGGTGTCTAAAAGTACCTGTCACGTGACATGAGTCGTGTAGAAAGTGTTCCACCGAATTATATGATTTTTGAGGTGTTGAACACGAATCTGAAGTTTGCTGCTCCAAAGGAGTACCGGCTCAGGTCTAAAAACGCGAAAAACCTTGAAATTTTTAGAGTTTGTCCGGTTATCCGCTCATATTTTGCAAACGACGCATCATACAGAAAACATCAATTTATCAAAAGTTGGAGAGTATGAAATTCTGCGTCGAATGGCATCCCTAACATCCCAACTACTGAATTTATAATAGTAGAGGGAGATCGACCTTCACCCATCTGTTTAATGGATGAAAAATATTGCACAAGTAATTCAGCATGTTGAAAAATATTTAAAAAATGGGTTGCCTGAAAAAATTCTGGCCAGGCTATAATTGATTAAAAATTCAATATCACTTTTTTTCATTTCTACCGATGAGCTTAATGAAAAAATTGTACACCAACCTTAAGTACAAAGCCTACAGAATATGCAAATGTGAGATTGCAGGTTGCCTATATTTTTCCCGGTCTAACCATTGGGTTGCTAGATACAAACAGGTATTTTAGTCCTAGTTATTTCCACCTACTTGTTCAATCCATAAATTGAACATAAAATACGCACTGAGTTATTGCGAACACAATCAACGGCTGATTTACCGGTACGCTTAGTATGATTAAGCTTAGGGCACCGACCCTTGCAGGGGCCCCGCGGGGCATTATTATTTTCCCATATCATTTGTTTGTATGAACGAAATAATGACAAAAATAAATGTTTTCCTGAGCAATACACCACACCACACAAGGAACCCACTACCTGATCTTGGTAAACACGGTTCTCGAGATATTGGAAACACAAAAAAAATATTCTACCTCAGAACATGTTTTCATGTTCTAAGCAAATAAGGAGCATTTCCCATCATTTATTATTTTCGATAAATATTACTGAATACTAAATAGTGGTTTAGTCAATCGCAGAAGGTATATTTTTGGTAGCAGTCATTTACTGTACCAAAAAAAATACCTCCCTCCAATTTGGATCCTTGATGATCTATTTTATGAAACTTTGTTCAGCAGTTTTTTTATTCCGTAAATGACTCTGCTATCGAAAATATGCCTACTGTGGTTGTCACAACCACTATATTCAGTAATATATTATTGAAAATGAGAATGAACATGAACTCCTTATCTATTATCATATAATATTTACCTTTTGTTCTGTATTTTACATTTAACATACATAATATGGATGTACTGACGTTTTTCAAGAATTTTTTCAAATATTTATGTACTCTTCAACTTCATCATCCTCATAATCATCATCATCATAATGATAATAATTTAAATACTGTCTGTAGGTTAATCGAGGAGGTGGTATATTCATTATTCCAAATTTTTTGGGATTTTCTCTCCTCGTTTCTATAAAATAAAAATATGAATATTATTTCAATATACATTATACGACTTCGCTATTGAAATAATCTCTTCTCATGTTGAAAACGGGAGCAGAACCGGTCCCGAAACGTCCAAAGATAAGTGAAAATTTGATATTTTTTCTATATACCTTTATTTCCCTTCTCCAAAAATTTTTTCAATACAAATTGTCACTGACAAGCTAGTGAATTTTTCTTTTAGGCTCTCTGATAGGACAATTCTTTAAACGCAGTGACATTTTGGGGCAAATCATCTGATTTGTCCTTACTACACGTATATTGAAATAATATTCATATTTTTATTTTATAGAAACGAGGAGAGAAAATCCCAAAAAATTTGGAATAATGATAATAATTTGTTTGTTGATTGATACGTGTAATATTATAATCAAAGTCAGATGGAGCGCCTCGAGCAAGGATTGTCCACAACGTGCACGAACTTCAAACGAAGCGCATGTTTTATGGATTTTTTGCTGGAGCAGCTCCAATCAACTTTGGAAAAGCTAAACCAATATTCCTGTTATTTCAATTTACCTGCAGCTGCTGCTGTTTTCGAATTGGGTGTGGAACTACAATCCCCGATAGTGAAAACGTTGGAATACCTCAAATGTTGAAGGGTATCCTTGTTAACATCAACAAAACCAGCACTATTCGTCAGTTCTTTACAATCACTCAAGGCTTTGGGAGTTGCCATAGGTGGTGTTACATGCAGCAAGGAATACTGAAAGAAAATTAATATGGTTCTCATCGTGTTCTCCGTATACTTACTTTACTTGGTACATTCACAAAATTTACATTTCGTTTGAAAATTATACCGGAGGTTGGTTGATATACAGTATCTCAGCTTCATTACGATAAAAATAAAAACGGTTGAGAAAATACAAACAGAGGTCTTGAATTGCGAATGTATTTCGTTGGTAGGTATGAACCGGCTCTGCAAACTACGTTCAAGTTTCTATGAGGGCCGCTAGAGATCGTAATTGCATTGACCACTAGCAAAAGCGGATTTTTATGAGAATTTGATACATGAACTGATACAAATATTCGCATATTCAAGTCTTTTTTCAAAGGATAAAGAATATGAGTAGTTCGACGAGTGTGTCCCAACTCATTGCGCTTACTTGTCCTGTGCTAGTTACGCTACTGGACTCAGTTTATGTATGAAAAATGATGAGAGATAATTTGAACATCTAGAAAGACACTAGTGCTATTAATTATATAGTTTATATACTCTAACATTATTTTGATTATATCCTCGGTTCCTGCTCAGAAGATATCACCTTTCCTTTTTACTGATTAATATGTTTCTTCTTGTTTGCTCTATTTTCATATCAGATCGAGAGAAATGTTTATTTATTTTATTTATTTATTTATTCATTTACTTATTTGATACAAGTTAAAGTTTGAATGCGGGAAATCTTATTTTTAAAAAGATTTATTTCGGAACAGAACTTAACAAAATCAAAATTAGGTACCAAGTGAACAGTAAGAATTCTAAAGTCAGACTAACTATAAAATATGGAATATAATTCAAGTGGATACGCAAAGTCAGCATCTCGGCACCGTTCTCATGAGAACTCTAGGAATCCGTAACGGTGGTGGCTTCAGATATCGCTGAATAAAGGTGGAATCAAATTGTAACTACTTCATCCCCTGAAGAAGTTTTGTGAGGGACGAACAGAACTGAAGACTGCGGTGCTGGCTTCTGCGATGTCTTCTTTGGGCAGGTGAGGAATCGGCGCCACTTGTAACAAATGGCTGCTAGGATGGCTGCGACGACGATGTATACCGGGGCTGTCCAAAAGTGACTGTGGTCGGCGGCTTCTCTGATGACAAAGGGTTGAAGGTGTTCTTGCTCGCTTTGGATTTGGTGGAGTTCATCGAGGGCGACTTTCTCCAGGCGGATCGGGCTCAGATGTTTCATCGGTTCACTGTTGATAGTCTTGATTCTTGGCAGGGTTAGCGGTTCTTCGTGTACCACTTCTTTGGAATGTATGTAGCTGTCTTCGGGGGTGTGAAACTCACAGCCTGGTGGTAACTCGATGAGGAACGTCCCTTGAAGTACTGATATGCCTGATACTTGGCACTGGGTGGCGATTTTCGTCGATTGTGGAAATATACCGACGTAGTGGGCTTCAGTCAGTTGTTCGATCAGAGTAGCATTGATCGATATTGGAACTGGTTGGCATTGGGCGGCTTCGTCTGAGAGCTGAAGAATCTGGGAGATGCAATCTGGACTACGTGTTCGGTATTGAATGGCAATATTTGGGCAAAGGTACCCGAAATCGATTTTTCGGCATGGTCTATCTGTATACTGGTGGAGTTCTGTATTCATTGTCAGATAAGGTTTGGGTGGAATAATGGTGGTTAAGTTACTAGTAGGGATTGAGAATAAGTGGTAATGATTGAATATATCTGGTATTAGGAGTGGAAAGTGTAAAATGAAAACGATCATTGATTTTGAGTAATAGGCGTCGACTGATATGACATCATAGTATTTCAGCAGATCTTCTTCGTTTATATACAGGAGCTGTTTCTCTGAGTGGTGTCTTAACATTATATCGGTCATTGATTTCAATTCATTGGTTCTGATGATACTATCATGAAGGGTATTGATTCTTGCGAATGTAACTGCATTTTCCAGATCGGTGAGTAGTTAAAGTATTAGTTGCAACGAGAGGCTTATCTGGTCCAGGATATTTCTTGTTAGCATGTAATCATTGAATTCGAATACGAATTTATTGAGTTTGGATCGAATCGTATCGATTTCTCTGACAATTACTTCTTGGTTGTGTGTTATTAAGGTAACTGTATTGTTGAAGTTCTCTATAAGTCGAGTTGTTAGTGACATGTGTTGATTCAAACGTTGAATGACGTTCTTCTGATTGCTTTGGAGGGTGGTTATGGCGTTATCATATTTTTGGCATCTTCATTGTCCAAATTACCAGATATAGCTTTGATAATGCTGCCAAAGGCATTGATTAGGCCTCTCTTACTTCGGTGAGACGGGTAGATTGTCTGACATTTTCGATGTACTGCGTCTAATTGGTATCGTAATCCTTGGTCAAAATGTTGAAGACTGTCGAAATATGGGTGGCTTAGTCCATCAGCGATAGCGACTGTGACCTTCTCGTACTGGTCTGTTAGGGCGTCTATTTCTATGGCGATTGGTGTGAGGTTGTAGTAGTGTATGAAATCATGGGAACTAATTTGTATTTTGGCTTGGCCCAGCTTGAGGGGAAGGATCCCTGGGTTGTCTTTGAGGTCCTGGATCCTGATTTCCTGTCCCAGCGCGGGATTCCATCTGCAACGAGGATTCACGGTCAATTCTTCGTTCGGACTTGTGTTTTATATTTTTCTTATGTATAGTTGTATTGGGTAACTTAACAGTGACTGGATTATTTGATGTCACGATCTTTCGAGTGAATCTGGGTAATAATTTGTTCCGTTTCTCTGTGGTTTTAGTATAGATATTAGTGTTCGTTTTGTAGGTTATTGGCACTTGTCTTTTCTCATTGCGTTTTTCAATTGTTCTTTCTTTGATCTCGATTGCTTTCTGATTGAGTTCCTTGTAGATTGCCTTGGTCTTTTCTCTGTGTTGTTGAGCATAATTATTGAGCAGTGTTTTTTCAATATCAATATCGAATGGGTCCAAGGGGTCCAAATGTCCATTCAAAATATCAATTGGCTTCTGTTTGGTGACGGAGTGTATAGAGTTGTTATACCCTAGAATAGCATATGGCATATGTTCTTTTACATTGAAGTTCGAATTTTGGCCTTTTATAACTCGAAGATGTTCTATTAAGGTTGAATGGGGATTCTCTGGTGTGGTATAATGAATTGAAATTTTATGAGTATCTATGAAATCTCTCATTAGTCCATTTTTAAACTCTGTTCCATTGTCCGAAATTATTAATTTTGGTAGTCCGTGGTGTGTTATGAAAATAAGAAGTGCGTTTATTATATTTATTGCATTTGAACCATCTATAGGGTAAGCTTGAGCATATTTGGAGAATGCGTCAATTAAAGTGAGAAATGTTTGCCCGTTTGCCTGAAATGTGTCTATATGAACAACTTCCATTGGTTTTGTAGGTGTTGGTGTGATCATGAATTTAGGTTTAGCTGGTTTTCTGTCATATTTATTTGCTTGACAGATTTCACAAAAATCGATGTATTCTTGAATGTAATTTTTTATTGATAGCTGAATTTCTGTCTCATTAATACCCCTATGGTTGGTTTTTCCCTCATGATAGTTTTTTATGATTTCTCGCTGATTCTCCGCGTTCGCAACATCTTCTAATATCTCACTACATTTGACTAAGTCATATGCAGTGTTTTTGAATGTCCTTTGGAGTATATCACATGTGGCTTGGTAGTTTTCATCTTGGTTGAAATATAAGGCATATTTAATTTTTGGTGGAATATAGTCTTTGAAAAATTTTATGATGTTGTTTTCCATATCGTGCAGTCCTATCTGGGCGTGGATTCTCTTTTTATTTGGAAATATTTGTTCTGTTATTGGTCCGATAGGGTTGAAATTGACGAAATTTAGCTTAACCTGGTTATTGTAGTAATTCAGTGGTTTTTCAGATATTGGAATATTTAGAGCTGGATTTTCGTGATTCGAATGAACAGTTATATCGCTTCTTGACTCGTCTGGAATTTCGTCGGCCGTCTCAGTTTCAGATGTTTCGTTATTACATTGTCGTAAGTCGGGTCGCTCGTCAGCTGTTTCTGTTGACGAAGTATCGTTGCTTTTCCTGCGATCGGGTAGGTCAGTTTCCTCGTGGGATGTCGCATGATGGTTTTCAACAGCTGATTGTTGAGGAAGGTCGGGGTGATCATCTAGTTGTTCGTTTTCAATGTCGGTCTGTCTGTCTGATGCATTATTGTACATGGATGCATTGTCCGCATTGTTCGAGGCTGAAAGTGTTTCGTTGATTTTATTCACGTATTCCTCTAATTCTCGCAATTCTTTGGTTTGGATTTCGATTCGCGATAGTGCATCAGCATTTGTGTTAGCTTTTCCTTTCTTGTAGATTACCTCGTAGTCAAACTCTTCCAATTTGAGCCTCCATCTTACTAATTTTGAATTGGCATCTTTTACCGAGAATAGCCATTGAAGTGGGCGGTGATCTGATAAAATTTTAAATTTTCTGCCAAATAGGTATGGTCTAAAGTATTTCGTTGCCCATACGATTGCTAACATCTCCTTCTCTATCGTAGAGTAATTTTGTTCAGTATTGCTTAGCGTTCTTGAAGCATAGGCTACTGGTTTGTCTTTGCCTACCGGTCCTTGAGACAATATAGCTCCAATAGCGTAATTACTCACGTCTGTCGTAAGGTTAAATGGCTTAGATAGGTCAGGGTACTGTAGCAATGGTTCATTTGTCAAGAGGTTTTTACAAGTTTCGAAGCACTGAATGAATTGCGGCGTATGTTCTATTTTTGCATCCTCTTTCAGACATGCTGTCAGCATGGGCGGCCGCCCCCCCCTGGATTTTAGCTTTTTCAGTCAAGACGCGATAAACTTAAATAGCAGAAATATCAAATATCAGCTGAGATCATCCCAAATGTAAGTTCATTAGTCGTTCGGTGAACTTCGCATTTGCCCGTCGGCCGTCGCAACCATGTGACTTCCTAAGGCGTTACAAACACTCGGAACGCAAGCACCTGACTCGAGCTACCCCACCACGCGATACGCGAACAAGTGTCCTATCA